CACATTATAGAATGAGAACAAGCATTTCCAGGGTTCTACTCCATTTCCTTCTTAGAGATATTTACCCTTACGTTTTTGGTGGGATCTTCCCCAAGGAGTGTCCTTAATTTCATCAAACCTTTCTTTGTGGCATCAGAGGAAGATTATCCCACTGTCAAAAGGAAATTCATATGCATGGTTTTAGGATGAATCTATCAGAATCATTGAGTTTTGCTTTTCCTTGGCTAATGGGAGACACAACATGAGGTAAAGTTTGAAGTTCTTTTTCTAAGCAAAAGAATCCAGGCAGAGTTTATCTATATTTAGTAGTGAAATATATCAATTTGAGTACTGTTACCCATGCCAGCCAATTAATCCTCTTTGGTATTAGTGGTTACATTTCCTAAGAGAAGACATCAGGCTTCAGGAGTCTAGATTTTTCAAAGAGTAGGCTTCTTACAGGCAACCTTGAAAGGACCATTGACTCTCACCAAATATGCAGAATAGAATGGTTGCAAGTATGAGACTATACATTTAGAAAAGGAAGTATGTTTTTATACTTGTAAGTATATTTTAGCCTTCAATTTTCTTCTACATGGCTTTCTGCTCAAAATTCAGTCTGTATTAACAGTCCCCTTGTCCCTTACCTCTTTAGAGTCCTCTTTATTAGTAACTACTACTAAGTAGGAGAGTTTGCATTTTCAAGGCTTAAGACAACATTCCATTTGCTAAAATTGACTCAATCAGAAATGCAAGGTCTGAAGAAATACAAAGACTTAATAAAACAATATATAAAACCATAGATACTTTTTGAAATCCAGATAAGGCCTGTATTTCTGGTTTCATACCATGAATCCTGTTGGATAGCCACAATGTAAAGATGCTATAATCAATTCCACAGGTATCCGAGATGGCAGAGGCTGTTTCCAGTGTCTGATTTCAAAGCCAAGACTCAAGATCAGTGCATTAGGAATTGTTAAATTTAGGGAAGGTACTTATAGAGTAAATTTCTGTACATGCCAGTGTCACCAATTTTTTATGCCCTTTAGAATAATGAACCTGTTCCTGGATTTCTTATACATTCAATTGTATCATAAACATACCTAAAAGGGCCAGACCATTCTTTAATTTTGTTGGTACTTCTGGTTTTTAAGAGAAACCAGGTTAATATTTATTCAAAAT